AATATATTCGACACTAGATGGCGACACTTTGTGTCATGTGAACTAAAAATATAAAGGTCCGTAGGGTTCAGTATTGGTAAAATAATCATACGAAGGTGCTGAAATTTGTTTTGCATTCAGACATAAAAAAATTTTACTCGTACTCGTAATTTTTACTTTATTTTTATAGTTTATAATCATTTTGAGAACAGGCCGTATTCTCGTCAAGTAAACCTCATAAAAATGACAAAGACAGGGCCCTAATTAGAATTCAATTATTTTTCCCAGTAATCCAACTTTTAATATTAAATGCAGGAAATTGTACTTAGGCTGATTTTTACGAAATGTTTAAGTTATATTTAAGTGACATTCTATATGCAAAGAATCACTTAAATACAATTTAATGTTCTTAGATTGGCATTCAAAAAGTGCATTCGGATGACTAATTTGGAATAAAATATTTATATTTTAATCGATTTGTAAATAAAATTATATGAATTACAATAATTTGTCTATTATTTGTTCTCCCTCAGAGATATTAAGTAGTATAACCTACACATAAATAATAGTCCAGCCGTTTCTGCGTGAAAAAATTACACATAATTAGTGTGGAATAAGCTCAAGGAGACAGAAAGAACACACAAAATTTCGCCTTTATAATATTAGTGAGATAAGTAGGATATTTAGTTCCAAATTAAATATCCTACTTAATATTGAACATAGAATATTTAGTTTCAAAGAGACTTTATTTTATGGATAAAATAAATATTTCTTGAAGGTTGACTTTCACGAAATGATAAACATATTTAAATTGTATTTAAGTGATTCTTTGCATATAGAATGTCACTTAAATATAACTTAAACATTTCGTAAAAATCAGCCAAGTACAATTTCCTTCATTTAAATATTGAATGTTGGGTTACTGGGTAAAATAATTGAATTCTGATTGCGGCCCTGTCTTTTTGTTATTTTTTATGAGGTTTACTTGACGATAGAAGGCGGCCTGTTCCCAAAATTATTATGAACACTATAAAAATATTACTTTGGTGATTAAAATTTCTTTTTCTGAATGTATTTGCTTCATGAGATAGACGCTCCGATGCTATCGATGGCATCACATTTCATTTGTAAGTAATTTTACACCTAATTTATTAAATAGTTCTAGAAAAATCTCTTTGCGTCGGCTTTCAAATATAATTAAATATATTCCACACTAGATAGCGACACTTTGTGCCCTGTGAACTAAAAATATAAAGGTACGTAGAGCTCAGTAATGATAAAATTATCATACAAAGGTGCTGAAATTTGTTTTGCATTCAGACGTAAAGAAATTTTAATCGCAAAATATTATTTTTAATAGTTTATAACATTTTGTGGACATGCCGCCATCTAGCGTCAAGGTAGCTAAGCTACATTGCAACATCGATATGGAGAGATTCGAGTAGTTTTACTATTTATCGGTAGATGTAGATAGTGTAGTGGGCGGGGCTTTGCATCCCCTCACCCCGCAAATTGTCACGCGTTGTTACATAGTGAAATTTAATTACAACGTCTCCTCTTTGTATTTGCTTCATGGTGGCAACATCGTTTCCGGGACACCTGATATTTTGAGTGAGATTGAGAGGTTCTATGGGCAGCTGTACATGTCATCGTTGGAGCCACACGCAAGTGTGAGTAACGATCCAAGAGTGAGTCTTATCCGACACTATTCCGAAGATATCCCGGACGTCAGTCTGAGCGAGATTAGAATGGCTCTCCAGCACCTTAAAAATGGCAGAGCCACAAGTGAGGATGGAATTACAGCGGAGCTTTTGAAAGCGGGTGGAAAACCGGTACTTGAAGTCCTTCAGAAGCTCTTTAATTCCGTCCTCCATGGTGGCATTACTCCGGAGGCGTGGAGCAGAAGTGCGGTGGACTTGTTCTTCAAGAAAGGCGACAATGCTCTCTTGAAGAACTACAGATCGACTTCCCTTCTGAGCCGCGTCTACCTGCTTTTTTCGAGAGTCATTACGAATCGTCTCGCACGCAGACTTGACGACTTCCAGCCTACCGAACAAGCCGGATTCCGAAAAGGCTTTAGTACCATAGACCACATACATACCCTTCGAAAATTGTACAGAAGACAAAGAAGTATAATCTGCCACTTTGCCTTGCGTATGTGGACTATGAGAAATCCTTTGATTCCGTCTAAATTTGGGCGGTGGTACAGTCCCTTCAGCGGTGCCAAGTTGACTGTCGGTATATCAAAGTGCTGAAGTGTTTGTACAGTATAGCTACGATGGCTATCCGAGTACAGAATCAGAATAAGAAACCTATCCAACTGCAGAGAGGTGTAAGACAGGGTGACGTTATATCCCCGAAACTCTTCACCGCATTGGAAGACGTTTTCTGGACTGGGATGGATGCGGTATTAACATCAATGGCGAGTACATCACTCACCTTCGATTTTCCGATTTCGATAGTCCTTATAGCAGAATCGCTGGAGGACCTAAGCACTATGCTCAATGACCTCAATAGTGTCTCCCAACGGATAGGTCTTAAGATGAACATGGAAAAAACAAAAATGAAAAAATGTCTAACGTCCATGTCACACCTATGCCGGTGGTTGTTGGGAACACTAAGTTGGAAGTTGTTGACGAGTACGTTTACTTGGGACAAATAGTCCCACTAGGTAAGTCCAACTTCGACCGAGAGGGAAATCGACGGATTCAACTCGGCTGGGAAGCGTTCGGGAAACTACGACACATCTTCTCGTTGGACATACCTCAAAATCTGAAAACGAAATTGTACAACCAGTGCGTGTTACCAGTGATGACTTACAGATCTAAGTCGTGGTCCTTCACTGTTGGCCGTATGAAGAAGTTCAAGGTCGCTCAACGAGCTATGGAAAGGGCTATGCTTGGGGTTTCTCTGCGTGGTGAACTTAGAATTGAGGATATCCGCAGTAGAACAAGAGTAACCAACATAGGGCAATTTTTTTAATAGGATAGGGTGACAAACGAGCACACAGTCCACCTGATGGTAAGTGGCCACTGCGACCCATAGACATCTACATCTATCCTCCATAAAGACTCAAGATGCAGATGCGTTGTCACCCGTGAGGACTAAGATGGAATGCCTCTTTGTCAATAAAAAGGGTATCCGATTCTCTACACTCACCGTACGAAACACAGCAGCGTTAAACTACTATTTTACGCTGGTTTTCTGTGAGAATTGATTAGTAAGCTGAAGTGGCAGTGGGCCGGCCATATAGCTCGAAGAACCGATAACCGATGAGGAAGAAAGGTTCTTAAGTGGCAGCCTCGTACCGGTAGGCGAAGTGTAGGGCGACCCCCCACGAGATGGAGTGACGACCTGGTAAGACATGGAGGAAGTCGATGGATGCAGGTGGCTCAGGACCGTGTTTTGTGGCATTCCTTGGGGGACGCCTATGTTCAGCAGTAGACTTGTGAAAGGCTGTTAGTTTTTTATCAAGAAACTTTATTTATGGAAGTAATATTTATGGTTGACAAGAAAAAAAGTTGTGGCTCTTTAAAAACTTTGAAATATTGTAAATTGTAATTTTTGGCTCTTCCGACTCAAAAGGTTGCCGACCCCTGGGGTAGACCAGACTGGTGGTGGCAAATCGTTGCAGATTTTAGCAGCGGCGAATTTAAAACACCCCCTGGCTCCAGCGAGTCTAATTCTGGGTAGTGGAAGCCGATGACATTTTTCTATCAACTTTTTCAAACTTTTTTGTTCAACAGGTATCTTATCGTACAAATATCTTGGAGACGCTGCGTGATACAGTTTATGCAGAAAGCGAGCATATTTTAACTTGGTACAATTGGACATATTTAAAATGCCATTACTGACTAAATAAGGTGAAATCCTATGCCTTTTCGGTATATTAAAACAAAAACGCATGCATGCGTTCTGCACTCTCTGTACATTCTTCGCAGTTTTTTTTAAATAAGCAAGGACCATAAACAATATCACAATAATGAAGGTGGCATAGTACTAAACTATTACAAAGCAGCAGTCTAATGTCACGTTTTAGAAATTTGCGAATTTTATACAAATTTTTTAAAGAACCATAGCACTTAGCGTTTTTTGTCTGAACATGTTGCTCAAATTTTAAATTCTCATCCATGAGGAGACCTAAATTGCGAACACAACCCTCGTAAAGTATGACGGTGTCAAAGATCTCAACATCAGGCTTCCGTTTATTAATCACTAGCTCTGCCCCGCGGTTTCACCCGCGTCATCACGTGTCCGAGGTGCGCGACATATAGTTCAAGCATTTTATAACGGCTAGGGTTTAAGCGTCGTTCGCGCGCCCAACCAAGTATTGAATTATTTTAATTTTACATTATCTCGTAAACTATGCGTTCAAATAACATGGTATAAAGAACAAAGCTTATCTTCATAAAATTGTCTTGATGATGAAGTAACTTTTGTTCGTAAGGATAAATAGGCCATGCCTAATAATAACGCTCATAAATCACTTTTAAATTTTCAATATTTTTTTGTGACAAAATACCAAATTATGGCTTATGTATAAGAAATAGACATATGGTATCGCGGACTTTTTTTTAGACAGAGTAAAGGTCTATATTTTTCTAGAACATTGTATTTACCTATTCCTAACGATAACACCAGCGTACGCGGATAAATCATTTCGGTAGTGCTTTTTCTTCTGACTTGCTTAACAAATATCCTTATTTAAGGCTAGCTGAGTAATATAACTTAATGCTAGATAGCCTATACTATTCCACATGAATCTGGCTAATATACAAAAAGAATTTTTCAAATCAGACAGGTAGTTCCAGAGATTAGCGCGTTTAAACAAAAAAAAAAACAAAAAAAATTCTTCCGCGTTATTATATTAATAAGTATAAGTATAGATTTTTACCTGGTGCTTTGCAAAAATGCCCTAATGGCCCAAATAATATTCATTTTGTTGCTTTTTGAATAAAATGCCGTACCATATCATAATCTGAGGTAATAAAACTGAATGCCATAAATATATAATTTTGCAGATAATTCAAATGAGGCGGATGCATTGCTTAATGCGAACACGTCATACGTAACCAGTTACACAGCCTCTTATATACAACAATTGAAGGCTCTCTTATGGCGTGGCTACATTGGAGCGTTACGAGATGTCCACTTGACACAGGTAATATACTTAATATACTGTAATAAGTAAAACAATCGTATTAATTTTACCTGGTTATATTATTAATTAGTAAACAATATGTAGGTATTTACCCGGCAAAAATAATATATATAAATAGTATAAAAATAATTTACAATAAAATAGAGATCGTGACAATACTTAGGTAATTCGCATTATAATCTCTCCAAAAACAAACATAATATACTTAAAATATTATCCTAATCATGATATGATATAATATGATGAAAAGCGCAGTGTAGTTGCCATTAGAACAATATTACAAAATATTTACACATGGTAAAGCCCTAGGTTTTCATTTGCATTTTTTTGCTAACATAACGTGTTACGTGTACAAATCTTATCTTAATGTATACAATCTTAAGCACCTAGTGTTTTGTATTTGTTATGGACAAAGTGATTTATAAGGGGCCCTTTTTATAAGTGCTTTGCGAACCGAACGCTGTATAAACCGCACATCCGGCATGGAGCACTCACACCGCGGGATGGTCGGCGGTGTGTTCCCCCTATCATCAACAGTCGAGTTGGACGCAAAAAGGGAGCCTAAAAGGTCGGCTTTCTCTTTTGCGTCGTGGGCCAGTGAGTTGTCCTCCCTGTGCAGAGATGGTAGCGATGACTTACAGGAATTTCCCTGGAAAGCCTTGGCGAAAGACCAGAATGCACGGGTTCCCGAAGGAAGGCGAACTAGTTTCTCGCCAATTCTACCTATGTGCTCTGACTTTGCCTTGACAATAACTCTTTTGAAGGACCTGGAGGCGAAGTTATACTTCTTTTTAAGTATGCTGGTGTTTACGTCCCGAGTCGCCGAAGCCGCAGCCCAGGCTTGATTAACACTCCTGCTTACTGCATTTTTATTGCAGTTTTACAGGACCGAGATCTGCCTCCGATGGGTACCACAGATGATGGAATAAATAGTTCCATTCTCTGTAGCACCACATCAGTGACAGAGTCAGCAAAAGCGCTGGGATCATCTGCCGAGAAGCAAACCCATGGGTAGGAATCAAAGAAAGACCGCATTCCGTCCTAATCCGCCGACCTGTAATGCCAAACACGGCGGCAACCTGCAGAACGCAACCGCGAGGGGAGCGTGAGTGGCACCACACTCCGGATCAGACAATGGTCCGAAGAGCCAAGAGGGGCATCGACAGAAACCTAATATTCGTCCGGATGAGAGGTCAGCAGAAGGTCCGACAGGGAAGGTGTATGATCCTCAAGATCTGGAATCCACGTAGGCGTAATGTAACCAGTTGTGTCAGACCATATGCCAAAGTCATAAACAGATCTCCCCGCATGATCGGTTAAACATGAACCGAGCCATTCGGCGTGGTGGGCGTTAAAATCGCCAAGGATCAAGATCTCTGTGGATGGGACCCCCCCCCCCCCCCCCCGAATACACGGGGTAGCCTGAGCACCCACGCTCAGGAGTGGAATAGCATGGTTGTGGATGCTCAGCGAGGGATTCTCCAGGGGTGCTGGTACCCTCCTGGGGTAGTCTATGATGTAATTCCGCTACCATGTTGAAGGGGGGGGAGGGAATTGGGCCTCCAGTCACCTGCACTCACCAGACGAAACGCGGAAGCAGAGCTTCCACTTCACGCCGGTATTCTGTGAGATCGTGGTACTAACCCGGCTCGAGCCGGCCCATACGTGCAACAACAAAAGCAGCTGCGTGACTCTAGCACCGTTAGAATAATTATTAGATATTGATTTTACGCATAGTCTATGGTTTTACGAGAGAAAACCTCGGCATAGTCTATATAAATAAAACGATGGAGGTTTGCAATTGAGCGCGCATCACGGAAAAACTAATAGACAGATTTTAATTAGGTTTTCTAAGTTTTATTTCTTAGATACTTAGCCCTTATTAAAAAAAAATAATATTGCGATATCTTCATGTAATTTAAAGTTATTAAAGTTTTAAAAATCGATTTTTATAAGCACTACGTGTTCAGTGATGTGTGTTTGCTTGCCGCGGAAAAGTGGGACAAGCGGTGTAACGCTAACGCGCATGCGTAGGAGAGGGGAATTCTCTTCTACCTCTGCCTCATGATAAAGTTAGGGCCAGCGGCCAGCAGCCAGCAGCGCATTATTTGCGCGAGCGACCTGATCATAGTTAAGCTAATATAATCGGGAGTAGATACGCCACTGAGGTTTTAAAATTATTAATTACAAGGTCCCTTCTGAAGATGGCGCTGATTCTTTACGTGATCACCTACTAGATGGCATGGCTAGATAGTATCTAATTTATTTATTTTATATTTAAATGGGCATGTTGAAGAAAGAAATTAGTTCTTCAACCTGTTATAAAACACGAAGATGTTATTTATTGCATTTACTATGAGTGTTACAATAAATGTATGCTTGTAATTTTACTAAGTTATGGTTGTCAGAACACATCATTTTTCCTTTTAATATACGATTTACATTTGTACACTAACTATTTATAAGTAAGCATATCATTATTAATAAAAAAAATCAAATTATTTTCTTTCAACGCGGACGAAGTCGCGGGTATCAGCTTGTTTTAATATATTTCTTGAAAATAAATACTCCACAGAAAATTATTTTCTTTCAGATACGTTTAGTGACACATCTGTTAGTGGCATTGTTACTCGGTGCTTTATATAATGGAGCAGGCGAAGAGGCTCATCGCATTACTACAAACACCAGTTGCTTATTCTTCTTTCTACTATTTCTCTTCTTTTCTAACGCTATGCCTACCATACAGACCTGTAAGTATATTATTTAGGTACTAGACACCCTCCCTGGCTGGGTAGGATACATTAATGTGATTTTATTTAGATTTAAGATAAACAGATAAAAACATCAAATACCACATATTTAAACAATTTTTCAATTTCGTAGAAAAATTCTCCATGATTTTCGGATAAAATAAAGCCTATATTAGTGCCAATAGACAGACTGACAGAGAGACAGACAGACAGACAATAATGTTATAAATTGTTATTCAGTCTTAACGGCATACAAATAAAAAAGAAAAATAAGAAAGAAAAATACTCAGGCTGAAATGCCATCAACATCCCAAGATGATTTTCTGGAAGACATTAGGCAGTGCAAAGATGCAGCAGCAAATTACTGAGGACTTAAAACTGCTGCAAAGAATATCTAGCTTAAGTTATTCTTTGCAACAGTATTTATGTTGATTATGTTGATAACCAGATCCGAAAAAATCTATTTGTGTTTCTGCATAAATGTTAGCTTCAGCTAGATTTTGAACTCAAGAACAACAGAGTAGGCCACACGCTTTTAAAATAGAACCAACATACTAGCTCTCAGAGTTATCGTTGTTTGAAATTACTTTGGTCACGTATGTTGCAAGATTATTGTAATAAGAAGATCCTAAATGGGAATTCAACATGTGTATTTTCAGATATTAGAACAGAAAATAAGGTTTCAAGCGTGTATTTTGGAAAGACAAATACCAGACAGCTAATTGAAAATTGAAATCCTAATGATTTGGCAGGCGAATTATATTCTAAACATTTAATACACAGCTGTAATTTGAATTCTTTTTTTTTTTGTATAGGTATTCCAATATATATAGATACCTTTTTGCGACTCTAGTGTTAATTAATACTAACGATGTCTCAACTTTTTCAGTTCCAGTGGAATCAACAGTTGTACTTCAAGAACACTTAAACAAATGGTACTCCCTGACAATGTATTGTGTCTCGAAGATTTTGGTAGATTTACCAGTGCAGGTAGGCACCATTGTACCCACAATTTCTCATTCTGAACAACCCGTGAACAGTCTACTGATGGACATAGGCCTCTCTCGAACTCAGTACCAGGTCTCGCACCTTCGACACAGCTCTTCGTCTCCTGTGTAAGGATTCTGTATTTGTTACGAAATGATATAACCACCATTTATCAGAGTTTATTAGATCTAACAAAGTTTTTACGACACTCATGATATGAGGTGGTATAATGATGTGGATAAAATAAATAACTAAATACTCTACTCAATAGAATCGTTAAAGATGTGGGAAGTAGTTTGCGTCCATATAAAACAACAACAGCACTATCCGCTTCAACGTCCTCGAAAACCATGAAAATGACACTCATGATGAAAAAATTGGTACCTACTTCAGCCGCCATCTTGGATTTACATTTCGACAGCACTATCGGCTTCAACACCCTCGAAAACCATGAAAATGACACCCAAGATGAAAAAATTGATATCTATTGCAGCCGCCATCTTGAATTTACATTTCGACAGCACTATCGGCTTCAACAGAATAGAATAGAATAGAATGATTTTTATTCAATATGGATTATTACATAATACTTATTGAAAGTCATTATTTTATTTACCACTGGTTCGGAAAATACCTCTGTCCTGGGAAGAACCAGCAAGAAACCCAGCGGGACTTTTTTTTAAACATAATTTCACTTAACAATAATTTTGTTTATACAATTTTAAATGAATTTTCACAGAACCAGCATGGTGGCGATCACCTTATTCCCAGGGGTTATTTTCATTCATGTATTCCTTGATATTATAATAACCCTTTTTGTACAGTTTTTCTTTAATAAAACTTTTAAACTTGTTTATTGACAAACTTTGAACATGTTCTGGGATTTTGTTGTAAAAGCGTATACATTGCCCCATAAACGAATCACTAATTCTGTGGAGTCTAGTAAGTGGCATTACAAGCTTATGTTTGTTCCTAGTGTTTAAGGTATGAACATCCTTATGCTTATTAAAGCTATTTATGTTTTTATGTACATACATTACATTTTCATAAATATATTACGATGCCAAAGTTAATATGTTTATTTCTTTAAATTTTTCTCTGAGGGACTCTTTACAATTTAGATTATAAATCGCCCATACGGCTCTCTTTTGCAAAACAAATATAGCTTCAATATCAGTCGCATTACCCCATAGCAAAATTGCATAAGACATTACGCTATGAAAGTAACTAAAATACAGTAACCTAGCTGTCTCAACATCTGTGAGACTTCTAATCTTTCTTACAGCATATGCTGCAGATAATATAGTAATACCGAGAAAAACAGTGGTATCCATAAGACTCAACTCCTCCCTATCTATAGATATCTATTGCAGCCGCCATCTTGCATTTACATTTCGACAGCACTATCGGCTTTAACACCCTCGAAAACTATGAAAATGACACCCATGATGAAATAATTGGTACCTACTTCAGCCGCCATCTTGAATTTACATTTTGACAGCACTATCGGCTTCAAAACCCTCGAAACCCATGAAAATGACACCCATGATGAAAAAATTTATACCCATTGCAGCCGCCATCTTGGATATAAATCCAAATTGGCGGAAAATATTTCGACAACCCTATCGGCTTCAACTCTCTCGAAAACCATGAAAGTGACACCCATGATGAAAAAATTGATACCTATAACAGCCGCCATATTGGATTTACATTTCGATAGCACTATCGGCTTTAACATCCTCGAAAACCATGAAAATGACACCCATGATGAAAAAATTTATACCTATTGCAGCCGCTACCTTGGATTTACATTTCGACAGCACTATCGGCTTCATCACTCTCGAAAATTATGAAAATGACACCCATGATGAAAAAATTGATATCTATTGCGGCCGCCATCTTGGATTTACATTTCGACAACCCTATCGGCTTCAACTCTCTCGAAAACTATGATAATGACACCCAAGATGAAAAAATTGATACCTATGGTAGCCGCCATCTTGGATTTACATTTCGACAGCACTATCGGCTTCAACACCCTCGAAAACCATAAAAATGACACGCATGATGAAAAAGTTTATACCTATTGCAGCCGCCACCTTGGATTTACATTTTGACAGCACTATCGGCTTCAGCACTCTCGAAAACCATGAAAATGACACCAATGATGAAAAAATTGATATCTGTTGCGGCCGCCATCTTGGATTTACATTTCGACAACCCTATCGGTTTCAACACCCTCGAAAACCATGAAAATGACACCCATGACAAAAAAATTGATACTACTTACTTTTAGTATGTACTACTATTATTTAATCTGTGCTTTTAAAATATTGTAATAAAAAAAATCAATTATTTAAGAAATTTGGTTATTCGAATATTGTATACGGCGATCTTTTTGAGCCGCTGCAAACAACCGAAACGATGTCCACTTTCGACTGCGATTGACGCCGAACTGCGCCGAACTGAGTGAGTGAGTAAATGACTCTGTGGCTGTAGCTCCCCATTTACAGAAATAATTTACATACAAGGCTACCAAATCTTCGTTGATTTGATTTGTTCGTTGTTGAGTTTCGCCATTTTGAAGCCGAAAAAAATTAATTATAGCTAAACAAAACAAAATTGCACTGCCATTTACATTCAGTGGCTTCCCACATGATAGATGAAGAGATTAAAAAATAGATTGAGTTAAACAATTGATATTTTTATAAGTTATCGTGTTTACAAGCCTTGGGGACATGATAAATCCACACCATAAGCCACTTTTTTATTTAAAAATAGCAATTAATCGATTTAAAAAATATATTAACAAGTTCAACAATCATTTATCTTTCTAACAATGTGATTTTTATATCATTTATATATATATAATGTGATTGCTAGATACGATTTTATTCGATAAAACGTTGGAATCTGAATTTTTACGCGATAGTAGAACATACCTTGCGCTTTCGCTTAAGGCATGCAATAAAATTACCTGATTTAAATTTTGCATTTTCTACCGACTTCAAAAAGGAGACGCTACTCAATTCGACTGTATGTTATTTTTATCTGTGTTACCTCATAGTTTTTACTGTGTGAACCAATTTCGATGATTCTTTTTTATTTGAAAGCTGGTGCTTCACATGTGGTCCCATATAAATTTGATCAAGGTCTGACCAATAGTTTTTGAGTTATTCTTAATAATTTAAATTGAAGTCGGTTGTATAAAATTTTTAATTTTAAATTATTAAAATTATTAACAGCTAATTGTTATTTTCGTTACGCTCGATAAGTAAATAATAATTGTAAAACCAATTCATATGCATTTTATGAGTTATTTAATTAGTTGTTATTAGCACACATACATGATCTTTTTTAAATCTTTTTAAATGGTTGCTGCAAAGGCAGATTTCATTTCATATCTGGTCTAATAAGGTAATAAGGGGAACAAATTATTATTAGTGGTTAAGGAATTTCTTTTTATTTCAGTTATTATGCGCTACAGTTTTCGTATTCCCGGCGTGGTACTTAACATCACAGCCTTTAGAAGTTTACCGGATGGGTTTAGCGTGGGTCGTATGCGCATTGACGACAATACTAGCCCAAACCTTCGGCTTAGTTATTGGGGCTGCTTGTGGAATAAAGGTACCTATAAGTTTGTCACTTTTATTTTCTACAACACCTATATTAATATTAATTTTAAAAAAAACTTAAGTTCTCTGGGCGTATTTTCTAAACAGTTAAAATATAATTGGGTGTACCATTAGCTTTTTTTGTGTTCGTAAGAATATACCTACCTACTGTTCATATTTCATTTTTTATTTTTTATTTTCAGCTTGGAATGTTCGTGATCCCGGCAGCCAATATTCCTATGTTGATGTTCTCAGGATTTTTTATACCCTATCACGAAATGCCAAATTATTTGCGACCATTAGCAACCATTTCTTACTTCCGTTACGCCTTCGATGGGTTTTTATTGACCGTATACGGTTTTGAAAGGCCTAACCTTACCTGCCATACAACATATTGTTTCTTTAGAAATCCCGTTAAATATCTTGATTACTTAGGACTCTCTCAAAATTTTAACAATGACATAATTATTTTATTCGTCTGGATTATTGCATTAGAAATTTCTCTTATTTGTGTATTAAGGTATAAAGTCTATAAAGCATGCAAATAAAAAAGGCATATATAATATCGTCGTAAACAATTTATTATTGGTCTGCAAAAAATATTCACTTTTTTATATTTTTTTAAATTTGTGTATACTATGAAACTAACATTGTAACTGCCTGCCATGCTAAGTGTTGTATTAACATTGCATAGAGCGACACGGCACACCTGACTTGCACCTGCATAATTTTATAATTCTTAATTTGACTATTTCTTTGGTCTAAGTCGTAAGCGCGACCACAGAATAAATAATAGTACTTCGTAGCGCGACTGCTAATCATATGCTCCCAGTTCTGGCAGAAATCGGTTATAGAGATTTTCTGTCAAGAAATTCTCATTAGCAGCCTGGAATCTGGAAGTTAGCGGTGTTTCACCTGTCTCTATTCGGTCTTGCTGGAATGTCGTCCCATTTGACTATGAGACTGAAGAAGTAGACAGTGCAACTGTGCTTGCGCTAACACTCTTGCTTTTTAATTCTGTCTGGCACACCACAGATGACTAGTCTCCGTGGAGACAATTTAAAGATAAAATTTTATGTATACTAAATGTATGAACCACTCTAATCTATAGCAATATTATGAACAGTAGCGTAGCCAGGGGCTAGGTGGGGCAGTGCCCCGGGGCCCCCAAGCTAAAGGGGCCCCTCGGCCTCCAAGAACGACGTTCGAAGAATTATATACTATCCTAGTTGTATAAAGAATTTTCAAGCTTTAACTTTTTGGCCCCTGACCGCGAACGGCTCGAACTAAAATCACCAAAATTACTCCCATTTCCAGAATATAAATTGTTAAAGATCTACTTCGTTTTATTGTATTTTTTATATAGAAGAGTGGGACAAACGAGCATGCGGCTCACCTGATGGCAAGTGTCGACAACCGCCTATTAACAAATACATCACCAGAAGAATTGCACGCACGTTTCCGGTTTTTTTTAAAAAAGCGTTTCTTGAAGCTCCCTAAGTCGTATCGGTCCGACAGTAGTGGACCGCCAGACATCCCGATGATGTGGATTCGTGAAATGCGAAATTTTGTGGCTGGAATAAATCCGAACAATTCCTCTAAACACTCCCCGTTGTAAATGCGATAGAAAATGCAAAGGGATGCAACATCTCTTCGTCTCGTCTTTCGTCTTCGTCGGTCGTCGACGATTCGAACCGCTCTGCGCTGGATGCAGTCAAGTGGAAGGAACTGGTAATAGGGAGCCCCGGCCCAGGGATGAGAATAGTAGTCCATGTTAGGCCGAACCTGCCCCTTGTAAAGTTGCAAGCAGTATTCCGGCATAAAATACTATCCCGCTCTTCTAAGCACGCCAAGCTTTTTATATGCCAATTCAGCCTTCCCTTCCAAGTGTCTGGAGATACTGGCTGAGGTAACAAGGGGAGTGCCTTGAAATTGAGGAGTTACGACAAAGGGGTTCTTTTTAATGGTAAACGCGCAAACTTGTGTCTTCTGGGCATTGAACTTAATTAGATTTAGTCGTCCCAATCCGAGACCTTATCCGGCAAAGACTCGACTTCAGACACAAGTTTGTTCCGGTATTCGGTGACGTTTTCCCGAGAAATATAGGCACAGCCGGTGTATAAAGCATCACCAGTTCACGTTACTGTTTGCAACATATTATTGATAAGCAGAAGTAACAGCGTATAGATGATAGCACGTAGCCTTGTGGAACACGAGCACAAATAGGCTTGTAAATGGAGCATGCACCTTCTACTACGACTTTTTTGCTACAATCTGCACGAAAACTACTGATCCAGTTGCACAAAATCCCCATAGCCCATAGGAAAGGAGCTTCGAAATAAGCGCTTTGTGCTAAACCCGAACGAAGGTCTTCGCTATGTCCAAACTAATTGCCAGGATCTTCCTCTCTGCCTCTGCCGATTCCTACTTGCGGTCACTTTTCACTTGCTGATCGTCAACCTCATGAGCTGGAAGTTCACAATGGTTTTCATTATTTCAACAAGTTGGATAGTTCTGAGCGGTCGATTTTCGGTTATTTTTTAGGGATCTGGTGCACTAAAGCTGTCTTCTTTGAGTTCGGGACTACGTCTAGGGAGAAAGAATTTTAGAAAAGACACATTACGACCGGTGCTAACTAGAAAACACACGTCTTCAGCACAATGGGAGGAACTCCATCAGACCCACTAGAATTGATGTCTAGGGAGAGTAGTGCTATTCGCACCGAGCGCTGTGTAAACCGTATCGTATCGACCTGAAGGCGAAATTATACTTCTTATTAACAGCGCTGGTGAAGTACTCCTATTTATAGCGCGATGCAATTTTACAGGAGCGATCAAACAAGGCACTACAGATGATAGAATAAAGAATCCCATTCTCTGAAGTACCACATCAGCGACAGAAGCATGTTGGGATCATCCGGCGAGAAGCGTACTAGCTCCTGTCCTCGAGAGAAGGATGGTGATCCATATTTTTTTACGTGGTAGAGCCATGCTGCAGCTATATTAGTCGTATAGTTGTAGCACGAATGGGTCGGCTCGACCGGGGAAGGTCCATGCTCTCACAGAAAACCAGCATAAAATAGCAGCTTAACGCTGCTGTGTTTCGTATGGTGAGTGTAGAGAACCGGAGACCCTTTTTACTGGCAAACAGGCATTCCATCTTAGTCCTCACGGGTGACAACGCATCTGCATCTGTCTTTTTGAGGATAGATGTAGATGTCTATGGGTCGCAGTAGCCACTTACCATCAGGTGGACTGTGTGATCGTTTGTCACCCTATCCTATAAAAAAAAAGTGCAAATAAAGACCGCATCCTGTCCCAATCGGCCGACCTATTGTGCCAAACACGGCGGCGATCTGCAGAACGCAACCGCGATGGGAGTGTGAGTGGCACCATAGTCCGAATCAGAAAATGGTCCAATGAACAAAGGGGAGCGTAGACGGAGACCTGATATCCTTCCGGATGAGAGGTCATCAGAAGGTCCAACACGGAAAGTGCACGATCCTCCAAATCTAGAATTCGCGTAGGTGAAGTAACCATTTGTGTCGGACCATATGCCAAGGCAAAGTCGTAAACAGATCTTCCCGCATGATCGGTTAAACGAGAACCAAGCCATTCCCGTTGGTGGCCGTTAAAATCACCAAGGATCACGATCTCAGCAGACGAGACCTATTGTAGCACGGAGTGTGCAGCGATTTGGACGTGGTCGATGAGTTGGTCTGTGTCAGCATTACCTATAGAGGCACCCGTAGATGCGAGCATGGTCATCGCTGAACTTCAAGACTGCCGAGGCGTCGAGAACAGATGTTCTCTCTGACGTATACGCAAACTCCAGCCCGAGGCGCAAAGGTGTTATAATTTGTACCCCGGATAGGAGAGAAGTATCGACCGGAGAGGACACCTGCGTCTCAGTTAGAATGAGCAAGGTCGGCTTCTCCGTCTTCAGATGGTACGTAGTGGACTTCGTTAGCGTTCGAATGAAATCCCCTGATGTTGCAGAAATTCACGAATAGCGTGGCAGGGGTCACATTTGTAGCACCCGCTCTAAGAAAGAGTAGGGTAGCTTGGGCGTGGATGCTCAGCCAGGGATTTTCCAATACCAGGGGTGCTGGTACCCTCCTAGAATGGTTACTTAGTTAATTACACCACCATGTTAATGGGGAGATGGAGAGGCCTTCGACCACCTCCACTTAACAGGCGAAGTAAACTTTTACTTCACGCTGGTTATCTCTAAGCTCATGGGTCTCCTCGGTTCGAGCCGTTCCACCCGTTCATTACAATCATTCATTACAGCTACTCATTTCATGTCTTACCACGTCGTCACTCAACCCATGCGACAGCAAAAGCTGCCGTGTGACTCTTCCATGTCATCTGTTATGTTGTCTGCCTATACTATTAACTGTAATCTACTTTGTCATTGTTTATGCGTTATACATAATACTTAGTAGTAAGTAAATAGCTTTGCTTTATTATGCCCTGCAAAGGGCGACAAGGAGCTGATGATGAAGTAGTTTTGCACCTTTAAATTATTTAGTTTATTTTAAATAGGGCCCCAATTTTATTTTTGCCCCGGGGCCCTAGGTTACTTAGCTACGCTACTGATTATAAATATGACTACGTTACGCGCAATATCGCACAGCATCGCAAAATTATACCTACTGTGTACTGCTATTCGCAAAATAGCGGATAAACTAGAAACTAGAGACTAGAAGACTAAACTCAAAAGCTTAAAATTGCGGTTCGGCGAGATACGAGGGCGGCACTGAAAATTTCGTAAATCAAGGAAGTGACACAACATTACTATTTAAAATGTATTTATTGCTTTTCGAAGTATTCTCCGCGAAATTTGACACATTTTTCCATACGATGGAAGCAATCATTGAAGCAACTATTCCATTCGGAAGTTGGGGTCTCCAAAATGGCCGTTTTGTAGGCGTCCACAGCTTCTTCAGGTGATGAAAATCTCTTTCCACGCAATTTATTCTTTATTTTAGGGAAAGTATAGAAATCATTAGGGTTCGGGGCTGTACGGCGGATGGTCTAATAATTCTATGTTTTCGTGCTCTAAAATCTCTTTTGTTCTGTGTGCGGTGTGAGAACTCGCATTGTCGTGATGGAGGATGATGCGGCGGTTGCAGTTCTCTTTACGGAGTTCAGAAACGACCTGTGGCAAACAAATGCTAGCATACCATTAACCGTTCTTTGTCCCTCAAGAGAAATAGTCGTAACATGGCCGGTTTTGGAGACAAACGTGGCCACCATTTTTTTTGCAACACTCCGTGAACGAACAATTTTTGTTGCCTTTAACTTATTTTCGAACACCCAAACTCGTGACTGGTTTTTTGTTTCGGGTTCGTACGCGTATATCCAGGATTCGTCACCTGATACGATATTGTATACAGCATTGGAGGATCCTGCGTGGAATCTTTCGAGAGTTCTGACGCACCAAGTAACGCGAGCCGCTTTTTGCTCTTCACAGAGCGAATGCGGTATCCATCGGGAAAACAACTTTTTTACACCTAATTGTGTTCATGCAAGATTATTTGTATTCGACTCATGCCAATGTCTAAAG